ATCTCTGAGATTTGATTAAAATGTTTTAAATGTTAAAAACCTCTCTCTATACTTATTGAGATTTAATTACACATTTGAAGAAGACTCCTCAGCAGTCTGCCCATTGAATTTATTCTCTTTCATTGTTCAGATTGACAAATGGGGCCCGTTTGATCTTCTCATTGGTGGAAGTCCTTGTAATGACTTGTCCATAGTCAATCCTGCTCGTAAAGGCTTGTATGGTAAGTCAAGATTTAAAGTTTGGTTAAACATGCTACTGCTGAGCAGGCTCAGTGCTTGGTCTCATGTCAAAACAGGAAACCGTTAGCATCATTCATTGCATCTGAGATCCTCTTTACTCTCTGCAGAGGGCACAGGGCGGCTCTTTTTTGAATATTATCGGCTTCTGAATGTTATGAAACCGAAGGAAGATGACCCACAACCGTTCTTCTGGCTGTTTGAGAACGTGGTGTTCATGCAAACCCAGGTTAAAGCTGACATTTGCCGCTTTCTGGAAGTGAGTGTTCTTCTTGTTGGATAGAATTCTCATAAATACTCTAAGCAGTTTATTGTAAATTTAAAAAGCTCTTATATTCTATTTAATTGTTCTTGAATCATAGCCTCACATTTTAAAGGGGTTATGAACTGCCTTTTTTTTTTTTTTTTTTTTTGTACTGTTCTCTCAGATCCACTTATATTGTTAACAAGATTTTTACATCAAAATTTAGAAGTAACAGGCTATTTTCTGTCCTGTTTTTGACCCCCCTCATCAGAACATTCTGTTTGAATAGGTGTGGCGGATTGTAGATTTGGAAGTAAACGCCCACTGCTATGATTGGCTAACAGTTGTGTGTGTTTGATAGCATACATTAATTCCTCACAGATGGATGCTGCTGTGATATAGATAAAAAACGCATAAATAATACATATCAAACAATGTTTAACAGACAAAGCAATAGTGACCACTTAATGAAAACAGTTACTCACACTTGTGTTGTGACATTACTGACTACGGATCCAATATAGTCGGCACAGCATCCTCTTTTAGTTTCAATCTTTTTGAAAATCCTGCTTCAAAATTGTCTTGTTTGTAAATGAATCTGCGGTAAAATGAAGTGAACAAAAGACAAAGTTTTTACTGACGTGATCTGGATCTTCATTAAAAAAAAATAAAGTTATTTAACTTTTTCCTAATATTGACATCAGAAGGATGGCAACGCAAACAATATTTTTCCACAGCTTGGCACTGCACAGCATCTTGTTGTCTTCAGAGCATGTTTTTCGTTTGGTTTCTGCATAGACCTGCACGATTGTCTCTCTTGTAAACACTACGTGTGCTAATCGGTTTGCAGGGCTTAACAGACAGTGATGATCTTCTGCGGAGGCGGTGCTCATCCACACTAATGCATCATAGAGTAGAACATTCCAAAAGCTGTCATTTTGGCAGACTGCCTTCAATATGAGCTGTTTTTAGACTAACGACAAAGTTTTGAGTTCTGAATCTGACAGGATGTTTTTATAGAACAATGACCTCTTACATGTCAAAAGATCAAGGGAATTCTGGTTTCTCAGTCCATGACCCCTTTAATTTATTCACCTGTAAAGTGGACAGTTTGAATTTGCTCTTATAACTTTTAAAGCTAAAGGCTAAGCATTTGAACCTCATACTGTTGCACCTTTACGTGAGCATGCCCATTGGTGAAGCACTATGGGTGGGGGCATAATCCTTTGCTCCTTAATAATTTTTTGTGTTTGTGGTCAAAACATGGGGAATTATGAGGGTGTGTACTTTTAATTTTCCTTTAGAATTTAAGGATAAAACATCTGTTTAGTGTATTTATTTATGTATGTATGTATGTGTTGATGCTGTGAAAGTGAGTCCAGCTAACAGAGCAAGATACTTCTGGGGGAACATACCTGGCATGAACAGGTGCGTCAGTTAAATTCATATGAATAACACACCAGCTTTTTTTTACTTGGAAAATACACTGAACTGTGTAAACTAAAGTAAATAAATATATTATACATCATCCATTATATTCTGTTTTGAGCAGACCAATCAGAGCATCTCAGAATGATAAACTCGCTCTTCAGGAATGTCTGGACCCTGGCCGCACTGCAAAGGTTTGTCATGAGCTTCTAACCAAAGATATGCAGTATATAGTTATTGTAATGATACCACTAGTGATGAGTTCTGAAGCTGTTATGTACTGTTTTGCTTGTTTTGCAGTATGAAAAAGTTCGCACTATCACCACACGGTCAAACTCACTGAAGCAGGGCACCAATGACGCCCATTTCCCCATCACCATGAATGGAAAAGATGACAATATATGGATCACAGAAATGGAGAAGTAAGTTTTAGTTCTACACTTAGCTATAAATAAAAATTTAAATACAAGTATATATTTTATTTATGCTGATTCTGACACTTTCACAGAATATTTGGATTTCCGAAGCATTACACAGATGTGAAAAATATGGGGCGTTTGCAGAGGCAAAGAGTGCTTGGAAAGTCCTGGAGCGTCCCTGTCATAAGACATCTTCTAGCACCTCTGAAGGATTACTTTGCTTGTGATGAGGTCCCCTTGAAATGAACTTGACATTGATGATTTTAATATTTTTCTGTCAGTGTGAAAAGACTCGGGACATGAGAATGTGTTGCTTTTAATTGTTTTACCTTTTTTAAAACTAAAATGGTATGACTAACTGAAGAATTGTTTAGAAAAATGGATGCTGGGAAACTGAAGAAGGTTGATTGCATTCTATTGAATGTTCCATCAAATCACGTCACTTTTTAAAAATGTAATTTTCTGAATTTGCAATCACTTTTAGCTACAAATAGAGTAACAAATTTGATGTGGGATTGAGCAAAATTAATAAAGTGTGCAGTGCTCTGAATTACTTATTCTTTTGTTTATTGGCGGTTGGCAAACCAGCTTAAGGTGCATTTCCGCCACCTACTGGGATGGAGTGTGAGGCCTTGTTTGCAATCACTTTTAGCTACAAATAGAGTAACAAATTTGATGTGGGATTGAGCAAAATGAATAAAGTGTGCAGTGCTCTGAATTACTTATTCTTTTGTTTATTGGCAGTTGGCAAACCAGCTTAAGGTGCATTTCCGCCACCTACTGGGATGGAGTGTGAGGCCTTGAACGAAAATATATACTATAAAAAAAAAACAACTAAATTGTTCTAATCAAATCTGTATCTCTCGAATATTTTAGAAGAAAATCATAAACCCTTAACTTTCTGTGCATTCTGAAATATATTCTTAACCTTAAGGTGCATTTCCGCCACCTACTGGGATGGAGTGAGGCCTTGAACGAAAATATATACTATAAAAAAAAAAAAAACTAAATTGTTCTAATCAAATCTGTATCTCTCGAATATTTTAGAAGAAAATCATAAACCCTTAACTTTCTGTGCATTCTGAAATATATTCTTAACTGAAATGTCATTGATTTCCATATCTCTTAAATGTTTCAATTATCTGAAGCATTGTCACTCAGTGGCATTTATGTCCTGAGCCCTGGTGATTTTTTACCCTGATAAATTATTATTGTACAATGCAATAACAAGTTTTTTTTTTTTTTAATCTAAGTTACATTTACTATAATAAGTTGTTATTATCTAGATATTCAGAGTTTTCAGATATTTTTAGTATTTAAAATCCTTAAACGAGTTACTAACTGGTACCAAATTAAACGAGAATCAAAACGACTTTTATTTTGAAACGCAAAGACAGAAGCGTATATTGGATGGACAGTCGTGGCAAAGTCTTCCAGTGTGTAAGTAGACATTTAGTCATATTTTACAATATTAAGAAGAGAAGTAAGGAATAACAGTATGTGTTAAGTGTTTACATAAGTGTCCTATGTGGAGGAATGGTCGCTGTTGGAAGGCCGCTTTCGCTTCATTTGCAGCAGCATCCGTTTCCTCTGTTTCAGTTTTCGCGGTAAATTGATGAGTAGCTCTGTGGATATGCACAGTACGCATTCTCAAAATATTCTTATCTTCCAAGTGTGACTACTGAATTGTAGACATACCAGTTGTAAAGACGTCTTCATTTGAGAGGGCCTTGTTCTAAAAGAGAACGTCTTTTCGGTTTGTTACTTTTCCTTTTAGCATTTGATTTGGTGTGCGGGTTAACATTTTCATAATTCCCTCACATTACACACTGACTGACAATAGTGTATACAGCGCTAATTAATGTAAGGTTCAATCAAAGTGCAAAATCGTGAAAAGACCAGATGTCCAACGTTAGAGCCTAGCTGAATATCGTAAAATAGGGTTCAGTGTAGTGAGAAGCTCAACAATCAAAATTAATGCTGTTTTAACGATGCGCGTCTGATATCAGCACATACTTATCATTTAAAAATAACTACGTTAATTACTCGTAACCGGCTTACTAACATGAGTTTATCGATGTCTTTATTAAATAACTACTTAAATGTATGGGACTAAATATGTGTTTGTGATTTCAGAGAGATTTTACACGTCTTAGTTGTAGAATCCAGATCATATTTTGCAGACTTACATTTCATACAATTTCTCTGCAGGCTATGGAAAAGTGTTGATGAATGTAAATATTAAAGAATCTCAGTGAGCCGTTGGATTGGCTTCGTGACACACAGTCAAGTGGCGCTCACCTGCTCAGGTATTTTTATTTCCCAGCCAATCAAAGCACTTCTTGAATTGGGTATTCCAGTCATGTTGTCACTGATGTCAAATTATTTGTGTGAAGTTGGTTATGAAAGTTAAAAGATCTTCCCCAAACATTAAAAAAAAGACACATTTCATCTTAAATATGAAAGTCTACATGGTGTGTTTTCCCAGGTTCAGTTTGATGTGATTCCCCTTTGAATATGTTTATATAATTAAGACACTTTTGAGTTTTTATATATTTATATTATTATTATATTTATATTATTGATTTATAGTGCAGTGTTTTTTATAATAATTATGATATGCAGTGATCAATATTATTTTTTAACCCCTGTATTTGTACCTCTTTTTATAGGAACTGGAGCAGACATTGTTGGTGAATGGTAACATCCTGAAAACATTCGATTTGTTTATGATCGTAGAGCTTGAAATGCGTAGGTGTTTACTTGGAGTCTATATTTGTTGATTAAGCATATTGAAAAATGAAATATGGTCATTGGTCTTGTAAACATAATGCCATTTTTATGACTGTTTGTCATGCTTTTAATTATAGCTAAGAAGAGGAGATGTTCATCAAGGCTCAAACAGCCAAAGTATCCAAACCAGAACATGAAAAATGCTAAAAAGAAATCAGATAATTCTTTCTCCTGCAATCCAGCCACAATGTGTTTAATCAGAAAGTATGGCTCACCTGATGCTGGATCAAACTTCGCCAGTGGCAAGGATAGTCTAGTATTAGGACAGAAATACTGGGAAGACATTACAGCTTTCTGCAGTCAGACTCCATACTGCCTTTATTTATACCATGGAGTGGAGATTGAGGACAAGGAGGCCAGTGTGGTCTTGTTGGGCTTTTTTGACAAAGTTGCTGGAGAAACCAAGATCAGATTGCTTGATGTTCTTCATCCAGAGGAAGAGACTGCTGATGCCATCTGTACATGCATTGTGGAGATGCTGAAGAAGTTTAGAATACCTCTAATGAACATGGCGATATTTTATTCAAATTTCCCAGATCATGAAGATCTTCTCTCAGGTCTGAAGTTGCTGAAACCTGAGATTGTGTCTTTATGTGGACTTACAGATATGGCAGGACGAGTGTGTCACAGTGGTGTTGAGAAAATGGAGATTTCTGGCCCGATTGTGAATCTCATCACAGAGATCTACAAGCACTTTCCATCTTTTCCAGATTCTCTACAGACTTTGCTTGAAGATGTTGATTGTTCGAACTTCAGTAATATCCTGACGTCCCAATGCTCTCTCTTCTGTAGAATCATCCAGAAAATGACTTTAGCTTGGTCAGACCTTGAGAAATACTTTGGATCTCTGGATGCAGATGAAAAAGTGATCTGTCGTCTTCTTAGTGATCCCAAAATAAGACTCAACGTCCTATTTCTTAGCCACGCTTTGCAACCGCTTTGCGATTTTCAGGAGACTATTGACCGAGGTGTCAGCGTGACACAGCTCCTCCAAGATGCTTCTCAATTAGTGAGATTCTACACAGCGAGTTTCCTCAGACCAAAAACAGCAGAACTTTTCCATAGGAGAGGAAATACCTCGCTTATACAGGAAACAGTGGGACATTTACCTAGAGGAGAGGTTAAAGTTGGCAAACAGGCTGCTGACTTTCTCCTGCAATGCTCTGAAGAGTTGACTGACTACTTGGAGACATTCCACAGTTCTGTCATCTCCTTCTACACGACTGTGACCGTTAATATTGTTGAATGTTTACCCTTCTCAGATTCCACCATGAGAAACTTGTCATTAGTGTTGTGTCCAGGAAAAAAGCTTGAAGTGACTGGCAAAATAGTTCAAGATTTAGGTGCCTGTTTTGGGGTTTGCTCAGGCCCTGAGAATGTCAGCTTACTCACAGATGAGTTTTTGGAGTACCAGTTCATTGATGGAGGTGACACACACCCAGCCGACCAGTCAATGGAGGAGTACTGGAAGACTGAGCTGAGAATTATGGGAAGGACATCAAGTTTTGGGAAATTAATCGTTAGCTTGTTGGCTTTGCCCAGAACATTGAAAAAAGAGATAATTTTTGAACAGGTGAGTCACTGAAGTATAAAAAATATAATTTATCAGATATCTGTGAGACAAAATCTGATTTCTCCAACCACTTTTAATATAAAGAGTTTATGAAAATGTATTTAGTTTTATTAGGGTTAGGGTTAAATTGTGATGATAGGTAAAGTGTCCTAGAACACTTGTTAGTCTGAGAAACTATGCTTGACTTCCTTTAAATGCTTGTAAAGTTAACTTATTCAGAACCTTTAATTCAAGTACATTTAGTGGTGTTTGCTGAGGCAAGAGTTTTATCTGGCATACAAAAATGGGTGGAGAAAAAACCTACTAATGGAAGTATGCAAATTCATATCTGTGGACCAGAATATTGTGAGCTTGAGCTATTTTGACATGGACCAGTAAGGAACTAACTAGCAGTGACCTAGCAAATGGATAGCAACATGCTAACAATCACCCAGACCAATTTACCTCCATAGTAATGAACAAGCTTTACATAAACAAACATCTAAAAGTTTGGTTTTTGTATTTGTGTGTGGCTGTCTGTATCTCAGGTGTTCCCACAAACTGTCTCAGATCTCAATGAGAGGAAAATGGAGGACTTGGAGGAGAAGGACATGGCTAAGGATGATGCTACAGACAGCAGCTCATATAAAAGTGCTCCATCACATCTCAGCCCAGAGACTCTAGGGAGCATCACATGCGGTAATGACACACTGGTTGTTGTAGCGACCTTTAAAGCTGAAAGACATGTTAGATCATTGGAACTTGACAACAAGGTTGTTAAAATGCTATCGAGGAACTGATCTCTATCTGCTTTGCCTCACACTCTAACAAATACGTTTGATTCTCAGATGGCATTTACTTATGGGACGTGGAAAACATTGTGGCAATGGAAGTGGAGGATACTGTGCCAATCTCTTCTGATTCAGGCCCAGAAAGTCAAAATCACACAAAAGGTTTTATGCCCTGCTCAAATATACCAGCTAGTGGGATTTTATCTCTTCTGAAGCTCTGGGACATGACCCAAATCAAACTCTGTCTTTGCCCGGTCTTTGTTGCCAGCACATCATCCAAATGTGTCCATTGATGATGATGATGATGATGACAAGTACAGCAGCAGTGATGACGATGACGATTGCAGCAGTAGTGATGATGATGTCATATGGACTGAGGTAAATATGTAATTGTTATTTGCAGAGAAGGGTGTTGTTTTGTTTCTCGATATCATGATTGAGCACACTGTTTTTCTCTACCAGAAAAGAAAAGGAATTATCTCGCATAACAATGAGAAAACAAACATTCCATACCAGGTAACTTCAACATTTATAAAATTAAAGATATTTTTTATTACATTTGTGCATTGTAGTAAAAGATTTCTGCGGCTTAAATATCACCGAAAAAAAAACAGACTGCGTCTAACAACAACTGTGATTTTAGGGGGGTTACACAGTGGGTGAGATGGTTTGGGGGCCCATTGAGGGCTTTGGTCTTTGGCCTGGACTGGTTCAGAGCTGGGACAGCAAGATGCCTTGTGGCTCCATCCGTAAAGTGATTTTCTTTGGGAACAGGATGCTGTCAGAGGTACACATATGAGTATACAGTCTTTTTTGTGAGCTTTTGGATTTTGGTTTTATTTACTCAATAAGAAAGATCATGTGATGAATATTTTTCTGTTGTAGATCCAAGTAGATGATCTCCTGCCCTTTTTTTCCTTTGCTAAATGCTTCTGTTCTAATTCCTTCGCTACTGTAGCGACATATAAAGATGCAATCTTCAATTCTCTGCAGGTAATGCAAATTGTATTTTGCTGGTACCATGTTTTTAGTGCTCAAAGATCCATTTACCTTGGTGCAATTTAGTGTGACAGTGTTACAGTCTGGAAAACCAGTTCTTGGAAGCAGTCCCAGCATTTTGCTGAATTTCACAGATATAACGTTTTTGTTTACTCTTTCAACAATCTTGATTTCTGTTCCTAAAACTGAGACTGAGACCTAATAATTTTCCATGCAAGTATGTGAAGAATGTAAGAAATGTTTTATACATGTTATGGTCTAGGTGGCTTCCAGACGCAGTAGAATGTTTTTTTCTCCTGAGACGGACTCTTTGGATGAGTTGTTTAGAGTCATGTTGGACTGGGCCTTTGGAGGTTTTAAGCCATCAGGTCCAGATGGACTTCGACCTCAATCGGAATACAATGGTATGCAACAGATTAGCACTGAAAGACACTCTTTGACCTCAGTGCTGTATTTCAGTGCGAGGACTGTAGTATTAAACTTCAAATTTGTTGTGTATTTACTGTGTTCATCTTTTTTCCTTCCTTAGAACAGGCTTTTATGCCACGATCAGTGAATGGGAATGTTGGATCCTCTCCAAACTACAAAGACCATCGAGAAAAATTATTTAACTTAACTGTATCTCTGAATAAGCTCCCTGAATCTCTGGACCTGCACAAAGGTTCGATAAACCTTGGGAAAAAAGATGTTTACAGAAGATTCATGCATCCAAAATGGAATCGGAGATCCTCGCAGACTGTAAGGACTTGTCGAGAACAGAAACATTCTTACAGGAATAAGCGTCCAACTCACTGCGAAAGTATGCAGGTTGAGTCCAGACAGAACAGCCAAAAAAGATGTATGTGCACCATTGATATTTATTAAAGCATTATGTAAACTTAAAAAACATCAACAAAAACAACAGTTAACCTGGTGTTTATTTGAATGTTTTCACAGATCAAATGGTGCATACATTTCTGGAAAACAAGATAGACATTGAAGGTAAGAAGCCCTTTCATAAACATTGCAGTATCTATTGATAATGAGTGAAGTTCATCATAATTTCTCCTCACCTTCAGAGTTTTGCTTATCATGTGGAAGTACATTTGCTGACATCATCCACCCACTCTTCGAAGGCAGCCTGTGCTTAAAATGCAAGGTACAGTGAAATTGCACTGTTGTAGTTTCCAATGATCAGTGAAGGAGTCAAGGAGTCAGTGAATGTAGGATTGTCAAGTTTCTTACTTACAAACAGACACCTGCTCTTGTTTAAAGGGTTTGGCTCTTTCAGCTAGTAACAGTTGTATAAAATCATCTGTATAAAACCATACCCAGTACTCTGCATAAAGCTAAAGTCCCTTTTAAGGCAAGTCAGTTCCCTCAGCAAGCTTTTTGGTGTGAGTACAGCTCCTATCTGAATCATAAAGTTCACTACTTTAGCTCAAAAAGCTTGTCCAACTAATGCTTATGTGCATGAATTAAGAGTTAACAAACAGGCGAATGGGTGTATGATTCTGATTCTGATGTGAACAGTATTAAATAGGCAATAAAAAGTGAAGTGGGACTTTAACCACCACTGAGCTCTACAGTTTCTCCCATTAATTTTTCTTAGATCTCTGACAAAGCTTTGTTTGTTTGTCAGTTTAATTTCACAGAGACGCTGTACAGATATGATGAAGATGGCTATCAGTCATACTGCACTGTTTGCTGTTCTGGCGTGGAGGTCATTCTGTGCGGCCATGGCAGCTGTTGTCGGTGAGTTTGTTTGTATTGATCACAAAACAGTCTACACAATTAAAGGGGTCATATGATGGGATTTCAATTTTTCCTTTCTCTTTGGAGTGTTACAAGCTCTTGGTGCATAAAGAAGATCTGTAAAGTTGCAAAGACTAAAGTCTCAAATCCAAAGAGATATTCTTTATAAAAGTTAAGAGTCAACCACGCCTACCTAAAACTGCTCGTTCTAACACGCCCCCACATGTCTACGTCGCGATGTGGGAAGATTTGCATAACGCCGCCCAAATGTTCACGCAAAGAAAGAAGGCATAACTTTTATTCTCGCTGTTGCCGCTGCCAGCATGTCATGGAGACGCTGTGTGTTTCGTTGTGAAAGTGAAACTACTTTGTTTGGTCTTCCAAAAGAGGACGATATCTGCTTCGTCATGCCTGGAGCTGATCCGTGCTGGTGTCGCTTCGGCCGGGACACGGCATCACAGTATGGTAGGGGCGTAACATTTCCGTCACACGCTTGAGGTATTCGGCCAATCACAACGCACTAGATAGCTGGCCAATCAGAGCACGCCTCGCTTTTCAGACCGATGAGCTTTGTAAAAGTCGGCTCATTTCAGAAAGGCGGGGCGTACAGTATGTGGAAAATAATGTTTTTTTTTTTTACTTTAAACCGCATAAACACATTTCATTACACCAAATACACAAAATAATGTTCTTTTTAGCAACATCATATGACCCCTTTAAAAAAAGGACTTGTTTTAGGTTTTTAAAACAAAGAATCATTATACATTTGAGATTCTGCACTATTTCTCTGCCCCTAATCAGATAAATAAATTGAATCACATTTATGCATGTTAAATGGTGCTGTGATGCAGGATAATTGCAAATTAGTCTCAATCGATAATAAAATTTGCAAGGGAAAAATACTAAATTAGAAATACACAAAGTGTAATCATTTTCACAAGTTTTGACCCAAATCTAATTTGGTCTTCACTTCTCTAGATCCTACTGTGTGGACTGTCTGGATATCCTAGTGGGTGAGGGGACATTTAACCAGCTGAAGAATGTGGACCCATGGACCTGTTACCTTTGTGCACCCGAGAGCAGCTCTGGAGCTTTGAAGCCCAGGCATGACTGGAGCATCCGTGTGCAGGAATTCTTTGCCAACAACAGCGCCATGGAGTTTGTTAGTCATCTAATACAAATATTGGATGATCTTTCTGATTTGTATTTGTATTGGTTCCAACACTGACATTTGTCCTCCTCAGAAGCCCCACCGTGTTTACCCATCAATCCCTGCTAACCAGCAAAGTCCAATCAGAGTGCTTTCCTTATTTGATGGTATAGCCACAGGTAAAACTTGCCGAATTACTCAACCACTTGTAGTGTAATAAACACTTATATTGTGTTCTTGTACTGGTTATGTGGCTCATTCAAATACATTTTTGTTTCAGGATACCTTGTTCTGAGGGATCTTGGCTTCAAAGTGGCAAAATATGTGGCCTCAGAAGTTGATGAAGAGTCTGTTACCATTTCCATGGTCAACCATGATGGAAAAATCACTTATGTGAAAGATGTTAAGAACATTACAAGAAAGCATGTACGTTTACAAAATCATTTTTTCATCCTCTTGTTTGTTTTCTGTTATTAAATAATAAAATAAAATTTCTGTGCACATCTGAAGACGACTCAACACTCATTGAGTTTATTCTCTGTCTTTGTTCAGATTGACACATGGGGCCCGTTTGATCTTCTCATTGGTGGAAGTCCTTGTAATGACCTGTGCACGGCCAATCCCCACAGAAAGGGCTTGTTTGGTAAGACACATCTGATGCATGTTGCACAAAAAATAACAAGCACCTTCTTGATCTGGCAACGTATAATCTGATTGCCTGTCTTTATTGGCAAAAAGGTTGGAAAACCTTGTCTTCATGAAGCTGAAAATTTGAATAATCAAAATGAACACACATCAAATATAAGGATTTTGTTGAATTACTGAGCAGACTCAACACTTGATCTCATGTTAAAACAGATAGCACAATTTGTTGCTTCTGAGATCCTCTTTACTCTCTGCAGAGGGCACAGGGCGGCTGTTTTTCGAATATTATCGGCTTCTGAATATGTTGAAGCCAAAGGAAGATGACCCACGGCCGTTCTTCTGGCTGTTTGAGAATGTGGTGTTAATGGAAAACAAGGTTAAAGCTGACATTTGCCGCTTTCTGGAAGTAAGTTTTCTTCTTTATTATGTTGGATAGAGGTTTGCTAAAGGCTCTCAGCAATTCTTATAAGTTTAAAAAGCTTGTATGTTAAGTTTATGAGATTTTTCTTGAAACCTGGGATCCGATTTTAAAAGAATGTTTAGTCTCGTGGTGTAGTAAGTGTGTGTGGTTCGTTTTTAGTGTAACCCTGTGCTCATTGATGCTGTGAAAGTGAGTCCAGCTCACAGAGCAAGATACTTCTGGGGAAACATACCTGGCATGAACAGGTGCGTTAGTCATTTCATATGACTATCACACTGACTTAAGGCACTCAACCATGTAAATTAAATTAATGTGATCTCATTTTATTCTGTTTTGAGCAGACCAATCGTAGCATCTCAGAAAGACAAACTGAGTCTTCAGGAATGTCTGGACCCTGGCCGCACTGCAAAGGTTTTGTCATGAGCTTCTAACCAAAGATATGCAGTACATAATAATTTCAATGACATCATTACATTTGATTGTGAGTAATTTACCGTTTTGCAGTATGAAAAAGTTCGCACTATCACCACACGGCCAAACATACTGAAACCAGGCACTGATGACCGGCATTACCCCATCATTATGAATGGGGAAGCTGATAGTCTGTGGATCACTGAATTGGAGAAGTAACTTTACTTTTTCTGCTATTTCAGTTTTATGTCTTATCAAAATTCATTCCCAATTATGTTTGATTTATGCTGACTCTCACACTTGTCTTTGTCAGAATATTTGGATTTCCGAAGCATTACACAGATGTGAAAAATCTGGGGCGTATGCAGAGGCAGAAAGTATTGGGGAAGTCCTGGAGCGTCCCTGTCATACGACATCTTCTAGCACCTCTGAAGGATTACTTTGCTTGTGACTAGGTCCCCTTGAAATTAACTGAAGTTGATTGTGCATTTCTAATATTTTTCTTTGAGTAAAAAAGACTCAGGGACACAACAGTTTGTCTCTTCATTGTTTTAACTAAAATTTAGAAACTTAGAAAATGTGTGTAGTGCTCTGTGAAGTGCCAAGATAATAACTCCTGTTTAGCTTTGTCTCTAGCTTTGATTTAAGAACTAAATTAATGTTGACTAGTGACTGAAATGAAGAGTTTTCATTAATTCAGGCTGTTTAATTTTATTTTTCTTTGTTTGTTTGTTTAAGCTCCCTGGATAGTTTAGTACTTAATTAAAATAAGTGAAGTGTCTATTTGTATCAAATGTTAGGAGAATAAAAATTACGTTCACCCCTGAACGTTTTTTTTTTTTTAACTCAAGTTTACATATCTGCAGCATTTTTGCTCAGAAGTCCTAGTTATTCTCACAGTGCTGTTCATTTTATTGAAATCACCATGATTAATAATATTTTGGTTTTTATTTTCAATAAAAATGAGCTTAATTCGAGGGTATTTGAAAGTCTTTACTGGGGCTTTAAATGAAACGAGCAGGAGGACTTTTATTTTGAAATGTGATTGTAGAAGCGTGTTCTGGATGGACGGCCACAGCATGGCAAATTTTTACCCGTTGTAAATAGTTAAATCTAAGTTTACAATGTTTAGAATAAAAGTTAAAAGTAGTTGTATTTGTGAGCCATTCACATAGTTAACAGTTTACAGTTTATCCGTTGTTTAAACATGTTTCGTCAGGCTGTTAAGAAACTAGGTATCTTATCATAATGTCAAAATTCGGTCAGTCAACACAATCTGAACACTTGTTTGTTATGTGGTATGCTTTAAGAGTTCTTATGAAGGCATTTCATTTAGAAATCATGCTTTTGTTTATATTTCATCCCGTAACGTGGGTCATTATCAAAAATGTCGACCTCGACATAAAATGTTACAGAAGTTTTGAATTAAGACCAATATTTTAGAATAAAAACGGGTGGTAAGTATTTAACAACATCATGGAATTATTACTAATCATAAGGACAATACGACTTTTTTTCTTTGTTTTGTTTTGTTTTGGTTATTTGTATTTATTTCACAAAAAAAGTGTCATTCTCATAAAATATAAATTTTCTAAGATTATGACATCAGCATCTCAAAATAAATTAAACCGGATTTTCAGCCTGTGACCCTTGGGAAAATATTTTTTTCTGGGATTTATTTAATTTGTGTGTGTGTTTGGAAAAGTCATGTTTGTCACCATATTTTGAAAATGACCTATGCCAAATACACAAGTTAATTTCCATATTAGTAGAACTTGTGTACACGAAAAGCATTGTGTAGCTTAAGCAATTTACAAGATGTTTACCTTTAAGTATTTTATAGGTAACACAAATCCACGTTGAAAACGGATTCTTTCTCGATATTCCCTGAGGTATTCTTTGCATGTATGCTGCCTAATCCCCACTGAAAACTGAATAGTATTTATTAATAATTACAGATACTTTGATGCCAGATGCTGGAAAACAACTTGTGACAACAGCAATTAAATGTGTGGTAGTTGGAGATGGAGCCGTGGGTAAAACCTGCCTTTTGGTTTCATTTACAAACAAGTTCCCATCAGAACCAACAGTAAGGATTTTTTACATTTATGCATGCAATACTATTGCTCTCTTTGGTATGTTTATCTTGACTGGCTTAAGAAATAAATAATACAGCCCATGTGCCTATTATCAGTGATAACTGCTGAATAGACAGTTATCCCATCCCAGGAATCCCATCACTTGCAACACATATTGAAAAAAATCATCAGTGTAGTGTCAATTCAGTTGCTTTGTCATGTTTTACTTTTTTTTTCTCTCTCTCTCTCTCTCTCTCTCAGGTGTTTGATAACCAAGCTGTGACTGTAATGGTTGATGGTGAACCGTATACCATTCGATTATTTGATGCTGCAGGTATGATGATAACACTATTCGTGAAGCATTGTCAACTTATCTTGAAAAAGTGTCTCAACAGTTGGCACAAGAACTGATCCTGACAAATCGAAATATATTTCAATATTTTGTAGGTCAGGATCAATTACGACCCTTATACTATCCCCAAACTGATGTCTTCTTAGTTTGTTTCTCTGTAGTTTCTCTGTCCTCCTTTGAAAATGTAAAAGAAAAGGTGAGTCTTTCAATGATCTGTCAGTCGTGTGGAATAATGTGTTTGTTGCTAACAACAGTTCATTTGTAATGCAGTGGGTGCCTGAGATAACTTATCACTCTCCGAAAACCCCCTTTCTGCTGGTTGGAACTCAGATTGACCTTCGAGATGATCCTGTAACTATTGCAAGGCTTGCAAAAAACAAACAAAAGCCAATCAAACCAGAGACAGCTGAAAAACTAGCCAGAGACTTAAAGGCAGTGAAATATGTTGAATGCTCTGCTCTAACGCAGGTGGGTATGCTTGTCACTGTGTTCGGTTTATAAAGCCATGTTTTAAATGTTTTTCTTTATTTGTATAACCAAGCAATTCACTTTTTTCCCCCTTTGTTACAGAAAGGACTCAAGAATGTATTTGATGAGGCGATATTAGCAGCTCTAGAGCCCCCAGGATCCCAGAAGACATGCAAATGTGTGGTTTTATGAACTGGACACAGAAGCATCATCAAAGACAAATCTGGGTGTAAACCAATAGGATTGTTTTATTTTTTGTACAGGTTTTTATCAGGAAAGTAACAGTAGCTATTACTCAACAGGTTTTTTCCCTATCATTTACCTTGGTGCTCATATCACATGATGAGATGATATGTGTGCAAATTTTACTATAGTGCCTTTAAGACTTTGACACTTCACAACAAAGATATTCAGGTATATGGTAGGTTAGAGTGAGATAAGTTGTGCCACTTTTTATTTAATTAGTCTAATAAGGAAGGAACATTTTGAAGTAAATACTGTGTGGATGTCTGTCATCAGCTTAATTTAGAAGACTTTACAGAGCCATATGAATATGTCTTGTCCCACATTAGGGGTAAGTTGTTATGTCAAGTTGAGTCACTGGGGAATATCTGAGAGATTTGTATTTTAAATAAAAGTATGAAAAAATATTTATACAGAAACTATCTTCCTCTGAAAATATCGATATTATTCCAATGTGGTGACAAAAATATACATGGTTTTATACATTGCCACTTGACCAAAAAGTATATACCTTTTTATATACCCAAGTATATACATTTTTAGACTAGGATAAAGAGTGAAAAAATGATCAAAATCACTTTTTCTCATGTTATTTCTCTAGCATGTGCAGCTGTATAAGATCGGCCCTTTTTAAATATTTGGTCACATGATGAAAATTAATTTAGGGGGCGATACGTCTTTCCCACTGCTACATTTTAGCTCAGTCCCCCAATACTTTAATTTTAAGCAATCCTTTCAAACAGTAGCAGTTGCATATATGCAATTGTACATATTAAAATAAACATTTAAAAATGATTACAATGTGGATAGAGATAAATTCATGTTAGGGGAACATGTCTGAAATGATGGCCCTCCTTATTAACACAAAACATGAATGACTCTGTTTAAAGGGATAGTTCACCCAAAAAATAAAATTCTGTCATTAATTACCCTCATCACGTCAACCCTCTACGGACACCTTGGCAATTGAATCGCCATTGGCTAGTACATTTTTTAGTTTACTCGCCAGACTATATAATAAATTTTTGTAAAATGGCAGTTTTTTTTTAATATCTGAAAGTACACTCTTAACATCAGTCAGTCAAGCATTATAATATGATAATCAAGTATTATTTAATGATATAACTTTAGTAATTATAATTAAAACTTGATAACCATTTATTAGTCATTTTGACTGAACTTAGGACTGGTGGTGCTGCTTTTTTGGTCATTCAGTGTTTCTGTAAAATAACTTGGGGGGGGGGG